TCTCTCTCTCTCTCTCTCTCTCTCTCTCTCTCTCTCCTCTTCCCCCCTCTCTTCCTCTTTCCTTTCATCCCCTCCTCCTCCTCTTCCTCCCTCCTTCCTCTTCCTTCTGTCTTCCCCACCTCTCCCTTCCCCCCACACCCACCAAGGGCGTTGTGAATAATCTTGCTAATCTGTGCCACTTGATAGATTATAGGCTGCCTTTTCTCCTTGTGCTTTGGTTTAAAAAGCACCTCATTCTCGCTTCCTTCACTACACAGGTGATGCAATTTCATGGTAGAAACATCAGAAAGGAGAAGGAAATCAGATGAGGGAAAACCCAGAGAGTAATTGTTCCCCATGATTCTACTACCCAGAGGCAACCACTTTTTCGTGTGCTGTTTTTCCAGGCTCTCCTCTCTCCCTCTTTCTCCCTCCCTCTCTTCCTCACTCCCCACCCCCACCTTCCCTTTTAACACACTGTTATAGAATGGTTCACGTGTGTGGTGTTTCTTAATCTGCTTCTTCAGAAACTAAAGCCAAACAAAACACAACCCATTGAACTTCTTTCCATGTTATTCAACAGGCTTCCTAAATGTCGTCTTCAGTGCCTGCAGAGTGTATCCATGGATCTTTAACTCTTCTGTAATCATTTCCGCATTGTTGGACATTCAGGTGGTGCCTAGTTCTTTCCTTGTGTTTAAACCCAACACTGCATACTCTGACGAATGAATCCTTCCTTGTCAAGCCAAATCTTCGCTAGCATACCGGATGGTCTTCTTAATTGTGGACGCGCAGGATCCACAATAAAATATCCTTGCAGGATATTTTAGAGACTTTTCCTGTGTGTTGCCAAATGGCCCCTTCATAAGCATTGTACTGATTTGCATTCATGCCAGCCAGCACAGCTAGTAAAAACAGTATGTCCATTCCCCCTGCATAGTCTCCTAGTCACTGTAATTGATGTGTGTGTGTGCTGGAGTGTGTGCGTTTTGGCCAGCTTGATGGGCTGCAAATGGTATTTCACTGTTTTAGGTTATTTTGCTGGATTTAAATGCTCTTTATCACCCTCTTTTCCTTGTGCCCACTTACTGTCCTTTTGCCCATTGCCAGAAACATCATTCGGCTTTATTGCAGGAAAAAATTAAACTGCAGGCAACAGAAGAAAATTAATGTTCCCATAATGAATCTTAATGACCATCCATATCTTCCTGAAAAATTTCAACTATATGTCTGTAATCATCTCCAGAACTACCGGAAACATTTTTGCCTGTACCTCTTTAGTAGTTTTTTGCATTTATGTCATATATGTATATAAGAATGTATATACGGTTTTTATATATGCTTTTTCACACAAAAGTATGTGTGTGTGTGTGTGTGTGTGTGTGTGTGTGTGTGTATGTTTATACACACACCTCTTAATTTCAATTCATGTCATCAAAGTTACTTTTAAAAATATTTCCTCGGGGCTCCTGGGTGGCTCAGTCAGTTAAGCGTCTGGCTCTTGATTTCGGCTCAGGTCATGATCTAACAGTTCGTGAGTTTGAGCCCCACATCTGGCTGTGTGCTGACAGAGCAGAGCCTGCCTGGGAATCTCTCTCTCTCTCTCTCTCTCTCTGTCCCTCCTCCTCACTCTCTTCTCCTTCTCAAAATAAACAAATAAACTTAAAATAAAACATTTAAAAAGATTTTATCTGCCTCTTAATATTCCACTGAATCAATGCCTCAGTAGATGAATAGATACATTAGGCATACCTACATTTATATCCACGTCTGTATGTCTGCGTTGGTGTGCATGTGTGTACATACATTTTTAATACTTCATAATGTTTCAACATCTAGATTGGTACTCGTTTTTCTTTATCCCAAGTTGCCAAATTCATCACAGTGCACAAGTTTTGCTAACATTCCAGATATTTTCCTGAAAATAAAAACGTTGCTGAAAGAAACACTGAATTGTCAAAGGATATGGGCTGACCTTGTAAGGTGAACCAGTATTATAACAGGACCTAGATATCTGTATTTTTTCTGCTCTTGGTATTGCAATCATTTCTGTATTTCCCCAATATTTTATCAGGGAAACAGTAGCATTTGTTTTTATTTATGTTAAACATTTTAATACAAATTGTACATAATTATAATAGAAAATATTTTTTCAAAAATGTTAATGTAACATAATAAAGTAAAAATTCTAATACCATTCCTAATACCACTACTTGACAACATAGATTTTTAATAAATAGAAATCTAGACACCTTTATAATACAATATGCACTTTTCCATTGGAGGGTATTTTCATTATAACAGTTTTCTGGGACAATGTTTCTAAATCATTAAATATTCTCTTAATTCTGTTGTTAATGTAATATTTCATCACAGGGATGAGCTATAATTTCTATAACCAGTCTTCCTTGGGGTATGTTTAAAATGGTTCTGGGGCACCTGGGTAGCTCAGTTGGTTAAGCGTCTGACTTCAGCTTCGGTCATGATCTCACAGTTCGTGGGTTTGAGCCCCGCATCGGGCTCTGTGCTGACAGCTGAGAGCCTGGAGCCTGCTTCAGATTCCGTGTCTTCCTCTCTCTCTGCCCCTACCCAATTCATTCTCTCTCTCTCTCTCTCTCTCTCAAAAACAAACATTAAAAAAAAATTTTTTTAATGGTTCTGACTTGCACTTGAATATCTTGGAACATTTTATTGCTTTCTATTCCTACTATAGGAATTTCAGAATGATAGATATGGACATGTCAAATGTTTTTGTTGTTTTTTGCCAGATGTTTTTCCCTTAATGTTTATATTAACCAGTATTGTAAAAGAGAGCACATATCTCTCCCCAGCTTCTTAAATTGGTCAAAAAGTTTTGCTTTAACTTTTGTAATCTTGAAATCAATTGCACATTTTTTCTTTTATTACTTCATTTTACAAGTGCATTTTTAAAACATGAGATTAAGCACATTAAAATATATGTAAGAAGAAGTTGAGGCATATTTTATATACCTTTACAAATTATCCATTCATAAGCATTTTATTTTTTAAATTTTTATTTTAAATACAGTTAGTTAACATACAGTGTTATATTAGTTTCAAGTGTACAATATAGTGATTCAAAACACTTCCATACAACACCTGGTGCTCATCACTACAAGTGTCCTTCTTAATCCCCACCACTTATTTCACGATTCCCCCACCTACCTCCCCTCTTGTAACCATCAGTTTGTTCTCTGTAGTTCAGAGTCTGTTTCTTGGCTTGTCTCTCTCTCTTTTTTTTCCCTTTAGTTAGTTGTTTTGTTTCTTAAATTCTACATATGAGAGAGATCATATGATATTTGTCTTTCTCTGTTTGACTTAGTACACTTAGCATTATACTCTCTAGCTTCATGCATGTCATTGCAAATTGCAAGATTTCATTCTTTTTATGGCTGAATAATATTCTATGGTATGTATACACACACACACACACACACACACACACACACACACACACACCCCACATCTTCTTTATCTAGTCATCAATTGATGGACATTTGGGCTGCCTCCATATATTGGCTATTGTAAATAATATCCCTTTGAATTAGTGTTTTTGTACTCTTGGGTAAATACCCAGTGGTGCAATTCCTGGTTCATAGGGTAGTTCTATTTTTAACTTTTTGAGGAACCACCATACTGTTTTTCACAGTGGCTACACTTGTTTGCATTCCTATCAACTATGAACAAAGGTTCCTTTTTCTCCACATCCTTGCTAACACCTGTAGTTTCTTGTGTTGTTGATTTTAGCCATTCTGACAGGTATGAGGTGATTTCTCATTGTAGTTGTGATTTGCATTTCCCTAATGATGAGTGATGTTGAGCATCTTTTAATCTGTCAACTGGCCATGTATGTCTTCTTTGGAGAAATGTTATTCATGTCTTCTGCCCATTTTAAATTAGATTCTTTAGTTTTATGGTGTTAAATTGTATTAGTTCTTTATATATTTGGAAACTAACCCTTTATTGGTTATGTCATTTGCAAATATCTTCTCCCATTCCATAGGCTGCTTTTTAGTTTTGTTGATTGGTTCCTTTGCTGCACAGAAGCTTTTTATTTTGATGTAGTCCCAATACTTCATTTTTTTTGTTTTTGTTTCCCTTGCCTCGGGAGACCTATCTAGGAAAAAAGTTATGGCTGAAGTCAGAGAAATTACTGCCTATGTTCTCATCTAGGATTTTTATGGTTTCAGGTTTCACATTTAAGTCCCTAATCCATTTGGAGTTTATTTTTGTATATGGTGTTCGAAGGTGGTACAGTTTCATTTTATGTGTAGCTCTCCAATTTTCCCAGGATCATTTATTGAAGAGACTGTCTTCTCCACTGTATATTCTTGCCTCTTCTATCATAGATTAATTGACCACATAAGTGTGGGTTTATTTCTGGTGTCTCCATTCTGCTCCATTGATCTATGTATCTATTTTGTGTTAGTATTTTTGTGTTTTGGTTATACTACAGTTTTGTAGCATATCTTGAAATCTGGTATTGTGATAGTTTTGTTCTTCTTTTTTCAAGATTCCTTTGGCTATTTGGGGTCTTTTGTGGTTCCATACAAGTTTTAGTATTATTTGTTCTAGTTTTGTGAAAAATTCTGTTGGTATTTAAAAAAGGATTACATAGAATCTTTAGATTTCCCTGGGTAATGTGGCCATTTTCACAATATTAATTCTTCCAATCCATGATCGTGGAATATCTTTCCATTTGTTAGTGTCATCTTTTCTTTTATCAGTGTTTTATAGCTTTTTGTACAATGGCTCTT